GTGATCCTTCTGTTTTTCAGCCTCCCCAGCACTGAGATTACAGGCTGCACCACGACACCTGGTCTCCGTGGTGTACTCAGCGTGCCTGGGGAGCGGCACAACATATAGTGCTGGAGATCGAACCCCGGTCCATGTGCTTGCCTAAGCACGCGCTTAGTCCTCTGAGCTATCTTGCCAGCCCTAAATTCTATATTTAGATGTAAGCCTTATCCTCAAGATACTCATTGTTTATACGCAAATATTCTGGGCATGGTGGTCCACACCTGTCATTCTAGCGCACTGGGAGACTGAGGCAGGAAGATAAGTTTAATTCTAGGCTGGGCAACTTAGTAAGATCTTGTGTCAAAATAAAAAGTGTTTAGGGTGCAGTTCACAGCAAAGGCCCGAGTTCAATACTCATGGTCATCCCTGCCAAAAAGAAAAAAATCCAAATCTGAAATTCAAAACACTCTGAGCCCAGGCATTTCAGGTAAAAAATATTTGACTTGTAATTTTATATTTGTAAAATTTAAGTAAAGACAAGAAATAAGATCTTATCAGTTGAGAACACCTAGTTGAAAAAATAAAGCTTATATAAATAAAAATCAAAAGGGAAATGTTTGGGAAAGAAAAAGGAAATACACCACCTCATCGAAGTCTCCTCTCACAATATGAACATCACCAGCCAGGGTCTTGAGATAGTCATAACTCTCTTTGGTGCAAAGGTTTCCAGTGCAGAGAATGTGCTGAATCTTTCCTGGCACCAGAAGCTTCTTGAATTTAGCCGGCAAGCTGTTGCACCGATGTGGGATGTGCAGGTCTCCTAATACCAGCACCAACTTTAAAGTGTCAAGGTGAGATAAGGAATAATATTAAACATGAAGTCTAAATAAGACATTCTTCTCCCATGACTCCCCTTTAAACTCATCAGAGATTCCACAAACCAACAGAGTAGAAATTATTCATATAGTTCCTATCATAACTAAACAAATGTGGTAATGTATTCTAAACCAATCTTATTTTCTTTTGGTCTTAAAAAAGCTGTACATATACAATACAGGTAATCTTTCTACTTAAGAATAAAATTAATCATTTTTTGGTGAATTACTTCATTAAATTTATTGATTTTAATATAAAACCAAAATTTCCAGAAATGCCAGGGAACATATTTACACAAGTCTCTTTCTTCTTTTTTTTAGCATTCTTAACTGAGTCATTTAGATGAAATATGATGAATAAAACAAAAGCATATAGTGTTGGGCTCTGTGGAATTTACAATTTTTGTTTTTTATTTTTCCTTCTTTTTTTTGGGGGGGGTGGTTAAGACAGGGCCTCATTATGTAGTTCAGGCTGGTCATGAACTCACTGTGTAGCCGAGTTCACTGGCTTTGAACTCCTGCAGAAATCCTCCTGCCTCAGCCTCCAAAATACTGGAACTATAAGCATGCTCTACCACGCTCAGTTTAGATTGTCTGTTTTTGCAGTGCTAGGAGACATTTTTGAAGCCTGACAGGATAGTTTATATTTCTGCAGTTGTGATACAAAACCTATATGCATTAATTCTAGAAACAATGCTAAAGAGAATTCTTAAAGATGTGATCAAGAAAAAGAATTCTAAACTTAAGTGACTTGACTATTTACAGAATAGTGCCCAAAATATACCATTTCTATTACTTCAAACGATTAGCCATGTATTACAGTGGCATAAAAAAGTTATGTTTCAGAGTTTCACTAGATGAACATGTGCTTTTAAATTATAATCCTTGACAACTTGTTTCCTTCATTAGAATTCCTTGTTCATTTTTATTTCTTAAATTTAACTGCCCATGTTCCCTCCCTATAGTTCTCAAACTTAAAAAGTAACTTCCACAATATTTCATGTGCAATCAAGCAGTAACACAGAGAAGTCAGCAAAATAGCAAGGGTTTAGCTGCAATATAGTCTCAGATAACAAAAATATATTTTACACTTAAATATAAAAGAATACTTGTCAGGTGTGGTGGCACACGCCTGTGATCCCAGCACTAGGGAGGCTGAGGCAGGAGGATTGTTGGGAGTTTGAGACCAGCCTGGGCTACAAAGTGAGCTCAAGGGCAGCCTGAACTGCATAGCAAGACCCTGTCTCAAAAAGACAATCAAAACCCCTCCAATCCTATAAAATTTCATGATTTGAGAAATACAGTACTATTTTAATTTAGTCTTTTTTTTTTGGCCAACTCAGCCCACTCAGGGCAGGGCTGGCTCAGAGATCAAACTGCAGCCCCCTGCACCTGCCTAAGCTTGCTTGAGAAGCGCTTTAGACTGCTGAGCTTTGAACTCATTGACCACTTAATTTAGTCATTTAACAAAATAATACAAAGCTCATTTTAAAATAGTATCTGTCATTTAAAGGGTGGATTTTTTCTTCATGTTGATTAGTTAGCACCTCCATTCTATATAGGATGATTTGAATTACAGACATCCCACTCATAAACAGACATGCTTTTTAGCTACTTTTAGAGGCATGACTATTCCTTATCATCAAAGAAAACATTAAATATCTAATAGTAGAAAACAAAATAGTTTTACTACAGACATTATAAATTGGAATTAATTAAACAAAACAAAATACATGAAATTAAAATGATTACAAGAACAAGATTCAGGGGCTGGGGATTTGGCCCAGTGGTAGAATGTTTACCTAGCAAGCTGGAAACACTGGGTTTGGTCCTCGGTACCAAAAACAAAAAATAAACCTCTCCTTAAAAAAATAAAAATAAAAAATAAAAAAATTCAACAATAACAAGATTCATCTGGAAAAAAAAAAATCCCAAAGTAAGGAACTGTTATTAGACAGAGTAACACAAAGCTGCAAAGTTAGCACACTTTAAAAACTGTTAAAGGCTGGGGAGATAGCTCAGTGGCATAAGTGCCTGCCTGGGAAGCGAAAGGTGCCAAGTTTGATTCCTGATACCAAAAATAAAAAAACTGTTAAGCTTCTCTTTACAAAGAAGTTTCAACTGATATTGATCAATAACTTATATTAATTGTCTCAATACAGGGTATAAAACATTTGTAAGACTAAAAACCACCATGAAGTTTCGACCCTCACTGGTAAACAATATAGAAGTATGTTGATAAAGAGTGATCTTCATTTTAGAGGGGAATATGGATTGAAGCACATAATTAACGTATGTAGTTAACATTTGAGAAAAAGGTAAAAAACATTTTTCTACATAAAACAAACTCCAATAAGCGATTTAATCAGAGTATACTAGGAAGAACATAAGTGCCACTGCCCAGGCAGGCACTTTTGCCACTGAGCTATCTCCCCAGCCCTTAACGGCTTTTATTTTTATTTTTTATTTTTATTTTATTTTTTGGTAGAACCAGGGATTGAACTCAGACTTTGTGCTTGCCAGGCAAGCACTTATCTTAATGGTTTTTAAAGTGTGCTAATTTTGCAGCCCTGTGTTAAGGATTTTTGTGTTTGGGATATTTTTTTTTACTCTGTCTAATAACAGTTCATTACTTTGGGATATTTTTTTTTTCTCCAGATCAATCTTGTTTTTGTTGAATTGCTTTTTTTTTAGAAGTTTATTTTTTGTTTTTGGTACCGAGGCCCGATCCCAGGGTTTCCAGCTTGCTAAGAACATTAGAGAGACATGGTACTTTAAAGTGACTGACAACCTAGAATCTATAAACTACTGGGTATTATTTTCAAGTATACCCAAGATTAATAGTCTAAAACTATAACTGTACAAATTACCATATAGAACATACTTAAAATTAAAAATCCTTACACAGAATTCTTGTTTTCCTGTTGATGATAATATTATAAGTGAAATATCATCACACAATATGTTTATTTTGTCTTTTTGAGACAGGATCTCGCTGTGTAGTTCAGGCTGGCCTTGAGCTCACTTTGTAGACCAGGCAGGCTGGTCTCGAACTTGCAACAATCCTCCTGCTTCAGCCTCCCAAGTGTCATATAATATATGTTGAGGAATGTCTTTGCTCAAATTCTACACTTTGACAAAATCAGATTAGACATAGATTATACAGTTCTTTAAGACAGCAAACGATCCTAGAAAGGCAGTCTTGTTAAATTCATACATACAAAAAAAAAAAAAAAAAAAAAAAAAAAAACCAACAACAAACCACCAAAATTCCAAACAAAGCACAGAAGTTGGGTTACTTATTAGATAGAACTTAAAAGGGCGAGAAACCCAGTTAGAAATCAGCTGCCCAATCACCACTGTTAGTACAAACTACAAGAAAAACTTACTCTGTGCCCAGCCTTAGCGGAATGAAGAAGTTGATTGCAGACAGGGGGATGAAAAAAAAAAGGGGGTGAAACATGACCAATGTTAAAAGAAAGCAACAAAAGGAAACAAACTAAAAAAAAAAAAGAACAAAACATCAGTACCAAATGAATATGCAAAAATTGTTAATGAGTTGAGTGTTATGAAAGAAAATGTTAAAAATCAACTGTGCTCAAATACCAAAAGAACCATTTGCTGTATTTGAAAACATGACACAAATACACATACAATACTTTTAAAAGTAAATTTGCCTTGCCTTTTTCCAAAATTCGTTTTATTTTTGTTTTGACAGTCTCACTACATATATATATATATATATCTGTCATTTAAAGGGTGGATTTTTTCTTCATGTTGATTAGTTAGCACCTCCATTCTATATAGGATGATTTGAATTACAGACATCCCACTCATAAACAGACATGCTTTTTAGCTACTTTTAGAGGCATGACTATTCCTTATCATCAAAGAAAACATTAAATATCTAATAGTAGAAAACAAAATAGTTTTACTAGACATTATAAATTGGAATTAAACAAAACAAAATATGTGAAATTAAAATAATTACAAGAACAAGATTCAGGGGCTGGGGATTTGGTCCAGTGGTAGAATGTTTGCTTTAAACTCAGCAATCCTCCTGCCTCCCTTCACCAAGTACTAGAATGCTATTTATAGGCATACACCACCATGCCAGGGTATTTTTCCTAATTTTGTTCTCCATGTTGACCTATATCCCTTTTCTCTTGTTGAGATTTTGTAAGATTATATACAATAAATTAATTTAGATTTCTATGAGACAATTTGTGAATTCCAGCAGTAGTGGTATCTTATACGCTAAGTTTCTAGGTTCTTGGGGTCTAATTATCTCTCAAGAATATTGATTTTATTTACTATAAACGTCAAACATTTTTACCATGAACACAACATCCGGTAATAAAAGTGCCATCTACAGATAAAGACTAATAATAAAAATCAACATATTCATCCAGCTAAAGTTGTACCTTCCCCATACCTAAATTTGCTCCTCACATCCTTTGGACACTGTACAGTGTTAAACACCTCTGATTCCTTTGCTAAATAAATATTTTTACTTGTAAAAGCATTGGCTAGGGGCCAGGGAGATGGCTCAGTAGGATAAAGCGCTTGACCGGCAAACGCAAGGATCTGAGTTCAATCCCCGGTTCCGCCAAAAAAAAAAAAAAAAAAGAATTGGCTACTGCTAAATTTCATCCATTTTTTCGTTACAAAGAGTAATGTTCCAATACAAGTAACCCTAAACATGTGTTTCCCTCTCAAAACAACTTCAGAAACATGAATCATAGCAAGTAGCTATTTCTTTCATCTTGAACAAATGTACTTGTCCAAAACTACCATTAAAGGGCTGGTGGGATGGCTCAGTGGTCTGGGGCACCTGCTGGGAGCGGGCTTGGCGGGGCATGGGGACCGCGGTTCGATCCCCCAGCACCACATGCCAGGCTGGGCTGGCCACACACACACACACTAATAAATAAATAAATGTTAAAAAAAAAAAAAACTACTATTAACTAGAGTCTCTTTGGAAGAAAAAAAAAATCAAAAGATATTAAAATACTTAAAGCCAGGCATAGGGGCAAATACATGCAATCCCAGAACCCTGGGAGGCTGAGGCAAGAGGATCTCAAATTCAAACCCAGCTTAGGTGACTTAAGAGATATCATGTTTCAAAATTATAAAGCATAAAAGGGATGGAGATATAATTCAGTGGGAAGGTCTTGGGTTTAACCAACAGAACCGAGTGGGAAGTGGGGTGGAGGAAAGAAGTATATACTATCTTTGGCTGTCATACATCTTTTATGTATAAGCTACCTCTGGAAAGGTAGTACTTATCAGAATATTAAAAGTGCAATGGATGCCTATCAGAGGTTGAAATTCTTTAACAGTTTACCACAACCAACACAAATAATCAGAGTTCTTTTGGGAACAGTTGACTTTTTTGAGGGCCCAGGGCACTTTCCATTATTATACAACTGTGAACCCTCTCTATTCACAGCAATCTAGCTTTTTACGTAGGAAGGTCTCAGGGTCTTCACGTACTAGCGCGGTGAAGGTTGATGTACTGGGGAAATGTGATAAACAAATGCAAGGTCCCCAAACACCCCTAGGCACTAACACTGGCCCTATCCCCAGCATAACGCACAAATTCACAAAAACTTCTCAACACTTTCAAGGAATTCACACACCGTGAAGGAATCCCGCTGTAAGGGGTCGCAGCATTTAGAAGAAACGTTTAGCGTTTTATGCGCTGAACGCACATCTGCGTGCACACCACCACATTCCAGCGGCAGATGAACTTTATTTCAGAGGGAGCATTTATTACTTTATTTCCTTTCTCTGGATGGCAAATTTAAGTAGGTAGTTAATTCTCCTGCTACTTCCCGTTTTGTATCGCGAAGCCAGCTTTCGCCACAGGGTGTGGGAATCAGTACACCCCCAACCCGCAAAAAAAAAAAAAAAACAGAAAGAAAAAGAAAAAGCTTTTTGTTGGAAAGGTGCAGGGAAACGTTTGGACATGCAGGAGGACGAGATCCTTTTCCTGGGGACGCTCCAGCTACGCGCCCGAAGGCCTTCGCCAGCTCGGGCGCAGAGATCTCGTGACAGCACGAGCACTAGGAGGGCCCCCGTTCCCTCCGGGGCGTCCTCGGACCCCTAGGGAAGGCGGTAGGGCCGCGGCCGGCCGCACCCAGTGGTAGCCTCTGCCCTTCCCTACCCCTCCTCTCCTGGGCCTTCCCCAGGCAGGCCCTCGGCCGCGCCCATCAGGGCCTCTGGGGGCCCAAGCACGCGCCCTGATTTTCCTCCTAAGTCCCAAAGACACGGTGCCCCAGCCAAGAGCCAGGCCTCTGTCGCTGCTGCTGCGGTGCTCACCATCCTGTCACCCGGCTCCGCTCAGTCTCCACCACCGCCGCCCTCTTCCTCAGGCTCCTCTGTGACCCGCCCACTTCTCTCACAACCAATGAAAAACGAGGTCGGCGAGTGACCGTCCTACGGAAGCCCGCAATGGGCTTTTCTTGCCGGAAAGCGAAGCTGCGCTTTGGAAATTAGTGGAAGCAGGGTTGAAGCGAGAGCAGTGAGGTTAAGCAGCTTCGAAAAAAAAAAAACAAAACAAAACACGCGGGCAACATCCGGGTACCTGGGGCCTTTGCGCTGAGGCGCACCTTCCAGTCCTGCCTTTTAGCACCCGTAGCCATGTTGAAGTGCGGGATGAGCGGAAATCAGGTGAAAGGTGGAACAAACTCTTGCCTTCCGCTGTAAATGTGAGACAGCCTAAAGGACATGAAGTGTTTCCGCTGTGGATTTAGCCATCCTCTTTGTCGCTAAGCACAAGAACTGAAGACCCGAGTCCTGGCCACAGCCTGCGCCCACGGTCCAACAAACTTCTGGCGGAAGGATAAAGGCCCAGCTCCTTTTGTTCTTGAATCTTTAATTTTATTATTTATTATTATTTTAGTATATATATTATTTATGTATTTATTTGTGGTACTGGGGATTGAGCCCAGGGCTTTTATACAGAGCTACATACCCACGCAAATTTTTTCTTTTTCTTTCTTTCTTTTTTTTTTTAAATGTCTTTTTGAGACAGGGTCTCACGATGCAGTTCAGTCTGGCCTTGAGCTCACTTTGTAGCCTGGGCTGGTCTCAAACTCGCAATGATCCTCGTGCCACAGCCTCCCAAGCGCTGGGATTAGACATGCGCCACCACGCTCGGCTACCGCGTGCTAATTTTTATTTTGAGGCGGAACCTCACTAAGTTACGGTGTTACTGAGGCCAGGCATGGACTTGGCAATTCTCATGCCTCAGCCTTCCATCTCCTTTTATTTAAGCATATAATATGGCTGGTGTCCATGGAATGAATGCTACTATCAAACCTCAAATTTGGGATGGTCAAATTTGTGGGGAGGAGTTGGGAGAAAAAGATGTGTGGATGTGGATAGTACAAGTATTTTTATGCCCAGCAAAACCCATAAATTTTATTTTTAATGCCAGATTTTACCATTTTAAAATATATGACTTTAGGGCCAGCGCGGATTAAAGTACCTGCTAACAGGTTTAAGGGCTGGGGTTCGAACCCCTGGTCTGCCGAACTGGTCCCGCCCCGGGGCACGCTGAGACAGCAATTGAGACTGGCCATGGTGGTGCGCACCTGTAATCCCAGCTCTTGGAAGGCTGTAAACAGGTGGATCACTATGAGTCTGATCTAGTAGTGAGACCCTGAACACCCTGTAGACCCCTAAAATACAAAATATATATACACATGACTTTAAGTCATGTGTATATATATGACTTCAAGACTAGACACTAAATCACTTTGGAGGTCCATTTCCTCAACCCTAAAATGAAACTAATAATAGCACCTTAGGTTTTAGGCATCAAATAGGAATAAATGTAAAAAGCTCAATAATAACAGAGTATATGACAGTATTTTCCTTGTAAATCTTCTGAAATTTGTTAATCTGATTTTTTTTTTTTTCCAGTACTGGGGATTGAACTCAGGACCTTGGGCTTGCCAGGCAGGTGCTTATGCCCTTGAGCTATCTCCCCAGGCCTGGAAAATATCTAGAAAACCAAAGTTTCCTATAGATTATAATGTGAAAAGGATCACCTAATATATTCTGTTGCTGGCTTCCCCTTGTGTTGAGGACCAAGGGGAAGCCAGCAACAATTGGGATGGTATTAATGAGCAGGAAAGGGAAACAAGCTTTCCATAGTTGCATGTTCTTGGTGTACTAGGAAGTTCTCTTTTGCAGTGTGTACTTTATTTGCAATAAGCAATTATTTGTGTGACTGTTTAATTTTGATTATCTCCTAGACTAAATGCTCTGAGCAAGAAATGAACCTATCCTTTGCTATAACCCTACTGCATTTGGTTATACTTGATCATAGATGGTGGAAGCCAGAGAGGTGGCTCAGTAGAATAAGCACATGCCTGGCAAGCATAAGGGTCTGAGTTCAATCCCTGGTTCCACAAAAAGATCATAGATGGTGCTGAGGAAATATTTACTGGATGCATGAAAAGTCTGCATTAGTCCAGGAAAAAAATTGAATATAAACTGGGGAAAAGGACAAATTCCTCTGATTTTTATTTTTTTAGTATGAATTTAGGACAGTGTGTACAGGGTCTCACTATGTAGATCAAACTTGTAGTGATTTTCCTGTTTTCAGCCTCCCAAGCGCTGGGATTACAGGCGCACACCACCATGCCCAGTCTCAATCAAGCCCCTGGGGGGGCGGCAGCACGGAAGGATGGGGATCAGACCCCAGCCCCTGTGTCTGCCTAAGCAGGCTCTTTAATCTGCTGAGCTATCTGGCCAGCCCTTCCTCTAATTTTTAAAAATAACTATTTAGGTCATCCTGAGTTCCTCAGAATACATACTTGTGATTCTTAAATATTACTTTTCAATTTTTATACTTTTTGATGGATTGATGTGGCCATCCAGCATAGTATCCAGTATGCATTTGTCATGGTTTTACTTATTGACAATTCCTAAGAACATTATTGGTGTCAAACTAGGTCAGACCAGTATTTAGTCCTCGCCTGTTTATCTGACAGGGCCCCTAAGTGTGTTTAATAGGAAAATCTGGCAGCTTCCTTGCTAACATCTGACATCTTCCAAGATACTCTCAAACATCAAAGATGTATTCTGAATACCCTTAGTAGTTTTCTTTCATACTCTGTTTTTGACATTGCCACCTAAGTTATTAAAACATTTATAACATCCTTTCTGTGCATTTCCCTATACTTTTTTGGCAATTACATTTACTTGAACCAAGTTTTAGAGTCCATTATTATGTAAATTGGCCTTCCACAATAGTTGCACATAGTTGCAGATAAATAGAGATTTTTTTGTTTTTTATTACATACACTTGATTCTCTAAACTTATTGAGCCCTTGCTGTGCATCTGATACCTTGTGAAAGATATTGCACTGTATTTTTGTTTGGACACAAGGCCTTGCACATGCTAGGAAGGTGTTCTAACCCTGAACCGCATTCCCTGCTCTATTTGATAGTTCCTAAAGGGTGTAGCATTAGTCTATAAAATGCTGTGTGGATCAGTTTAATAGTTTGTCTCAATCTGTCCCTAGATATTTGTACTAAAATACATTAAAACCAAAAGACAAACAGCATATTATTTAACAAGAAATTATCCTGATATATGCAAGAAAAGGGATTTGAAAACATTATTTCCAGATCTGTTGCACTGAATAAATTTGACCAAATATAGGTTTAACATATTGGGATGAACCCCTCTCAGGTCTTCACTTTGCTTTACCTTTGTTCCAATAAATCTTAGCACAAAACAGACCTTGAGATATAATTATATTAACCTGAACATATTGGGAGCCAAAAGAGAGGTTGAATATTATTACAGTATACACAGCGCATGCGTTAGAGGGAATGGTAGAAACAGGCTGAACCTTGTACTGAAAAATAGGCCAGAAAGTTTAGGAAGAGTGTTTGCCAACTACCCTCAAACACCAGTAGCATGTTGATAAGTAGTAGCTACAATACCAAAAGGCTCTATTTCCTTATCCAGAAATTTGACCTGCAGAGTAGGAATAAATGGTTCAACTAAGGAAGCAACTAAAGAATTTGACCTGCAGGAACAAATTGTTCAGTAAATCCCACTGTTCTTTTTGAATTTATATTGAGTCCTTGCTGAAGTAGTCCTGTGGGTTTTATCTTTTTCTGCTAGAAAGAGTATAAACAGCATCTTTCTTTTTCTCTGCAGTATTTGGGAAAGCAATCCAAGCTCTGTCACGAGTAAGCGAAGAACTGTGGCTAGACCCGGAAGAAAAAGGTGTAAGTAAGAATGTGAAGTAATAGACTATGTACTCAGGCAAGAGAAAGTGTTTAAAGATCTTAGTCCAGGTTGACTATTAACCAGGAAATTCAGAAATTACAGTTATCCCTTTCACTGTTCATCTTTATTTTACATATCTGAATGTATTTATTTATTTATTTTTTGAATTTTATTTATTTGTGTGTGTGTGTATGTGTGTGTGGGTGGGTGGGTGGGTGGGTGTGTGGCCAGCTCAGCCCACCAGGGGGCGAGGCTGGCTGGCATGTGGTGCTGGGGGATTGAACCGCGGTCCCTGTGCTTTGCTTTAGCTTAGTTTGTTCTAAGTAGGTGCTTTAGACCACTGAGCCATCTCACCAGCCCCTCTGAATGTATTTAGAACATGGTGAATTTGAAAATCATGCAGATAAACATAGTTGACATAAGCCAGAAATCTGAAATTGTTGTCCAGAGAATTTTTTTTTAAATGTATTTGGTACAGGATCTCACTATGCAGCTCAGACTCGTAGTGATCCTCCTATTTTCAGCCTCCCTAGCGCTGGGTTACAGGCCTGTACCACCATGTGCTGTATCACCACCATGCTGGTCTCGATGGCTGGCTAAGTGTGTGGTATGTGGTGCCAGGGATCGAACTCTAGTCCCTGTGCTGCCTAAGCAGGTGCTTAGTCCACTGAGCTATCTTGCCACCCAGTCCAGAGAAATATTTTGGGATTTTTTTTTTTTTTTTAGGTTACTGGAGGTTTAGCTCAGTGGTAAAGTGTGTGCTTAGCAATCACAAGGTCTTGGTTCAATCCCCAGCATCCTCTCCACCCAAAATTGAAATAATTTCTAATATTTAAAAACTGAAGACTGGGCATGGTGGTGTATGCCTGTAATCTCAGCACTTGGGAGGTTGAAAAACAGGAGGATCACCATGAGTCCAATCTATGTAGTGAGACCCTGTACATCCTGTACTAAAAACAAAAATAAATAAATAAAAATAAAAATTGAGCCAGGCTTGGTGGTGTATGCCTATAAATCCCAACACTTGGGATGCTGAGGCAAGAGGATCTCTGGGAGTTCAAGGTTAGCATGGGCTACGAAATGAGTTCAAGGGTACTCTGAACTGCAGAGCAAAACTCTATTTCAAAAAGACAGGAGGAGGAGGAAGGAGAGGAAGAAGAGGAG